CGAGCAAGCCGGACCTTCCAGGCCTCACAAGGGCAGGAAGAGAAAGAAGGCTGCAAGAAAGGCAAAGGCACAGAGCACCCAGTTAGTGCCCCAACAGGCTGTGGCAAAGAAGCCAAAAGGTAGATGCCACAAATGCAATAAGTCAGGGCACTGGAAGGTCGATTGTCCTCTCCTCAAGAAGGGCAAAGAAGGTAACTCTCATACTTTCGTCGTAGAAAAATGTTTAGCGGTTGTATCTACCAGTACCTGGTGTGTAGATACTGGAGCCACTGATCATGTCTGCAATTCTTTGCAGGGGTTCTAGGAAACCAGCCGGCTTAGGGATGGAGAGATTACAGTCTACATGGGCAATGCTACGAAAGTGGCAGCAGTTGCAGTGGGAGTAGTTACTTTAGTATTTGATGCTAGTATTTTGGTTTTGAACAATTGTCTTTTTGTTCCAAGTTTTAGGAAGAATTTAATTTCAGTTTCTAAACTCGTTTTGAATGGTTATTCAGTTTCGTTTAATAACTCAGTTGTTATTCGTTATGGAAATCATTTGATTTGTTCTGGTTCAATGGTTGGCAATCTATATGTTCTGAAACCAAAGTCTCCCACACTGCAACAAAATGAATCGAATAATGTCTTGACTAAAACTAATAAGAGAAAAGAGTCTTCGATGAATCAAGCATATCTTTGGCACCTTAGGCTTGGGCACATCAACCTTACGAGGATTCAAAGGTTGGTATCTACTGGGCATCTTGGTCCAGCAGAAGATCATTACCAGAATTGCGAGTCCTGTCTAGAAGGTAAGATGACCAAGGGGCCGTTTTCGGCAAAGGGGCGAAGGAGCCAAGAAGTGCTAGAATTGATTCATTCTGATTTGTGTGGTCCTATGTCGATCCAAGCTAGAGAAGTCTATGAGTATTTCGTCACTTTTATTGATGATTATTCTAGATATGGGTACATTTACTTGTTGCTCCGCAAGTCCGAATGCTTTGAGAAATTCAAGGAGTATAGGACAGTTGTGGAGAAACAACAAGGTAAAAGTATCAAGTGTCTTCGATCTAATCGAGGAGGCGAATACCTCTTTAGAGAGTTTAGGACATACCTATCAGAAGCAGAGATTGAATCCCAGCTGACTGCACCCGGCACGCCCAAGCAGAACGGGGTTGCAGAGCGAAAGAAACATAACTCTTATGGAAATGGTTAGGTCGATGATGAGTTATTCGAAGTTACCAGATTCGTTTTGGGGATTTGCATTAGAGACAGCATGTTACATTCTGAATTTTTTTCCTTCAAAATCAGTAGACAGT